AATTTGAATGAATTTATTTAATGACTTTTATTATTCCTCCTTCCCATGTAGCTTGCTTTTTCTCTTACCCTTTTTTTTTCTTTAACCTGGATTCTTTCTTTCTAAAAATGAAGCTTGTGAAACCCATGTTCTCAGGGAGCATAATCACCAAACATCCATGCATAACTTATACAGAAGTTATGCAGATAAATAATGAGACATACATCCCAAAGCTGCTAGCTGCTCTCTTTTTAGATAACCAAAATATCAGGCAGAGTTCTAAAATGTATTGATACAGTATAAAAAATCCTCAAAGTAAAGTTCATCTTGAAATTATAGTTTGTATTTTATACTTATAACCCTTAAACTCTGTAGAGCTTAACAGGAATTTTTTCTTAAATTTTAACATATATGCATTTTGTCAGCCCTGGCGTCTGGAGGGCAGAGATTGTTGGTTTTATTTATATTTATGAATACCGCTGACCTGAATCATCTTATGATCAGTGTTTTTTCGCATATACATTCATCTGCTGACTCAGAGTGTAAACAATGAAAGATACAAAGTTTTCCTTGATTTCCTTCCATTTGTATTTAGTACTGTAATAAGAAAATACTAGATAATCAAAACTCTTATCTAGGTTCAGTAGATGCTTTTGACTTGTTTCATGGTATGATAAGCAGATTTATATACACTGTAGATCAGCTGTGGTATTTCAGGTACTCTTATTCGTAGATAAAAGAGCAATTCTTTAGAGGATTACAATGTTATATTTGATACATTTTACTTTGTAATTTGCTTTCATTTTAAATTTATATACTTAAAGAGTATAAGATTATTCTGATTTTTAGTTAGAATTTTTTTTTAAAAAATAATCAACTCCAACATTTTGGCTACTGGATGGATTACATAGCCATAACAGTTCAAAAAGTGTTATCCAAGTTGTTTATTAAGGTACCTATGGAAAAATACTGGAATATTCTAAGACAGCTAGTGTCAGTGGTTCATTAAAATGCAAATTATCAAACAAAATGGTGCTATCGCTGTTAACCTTAAAGTATTAACTAAGATTACTAAAAATATAATGTGTACATAAATTCCTTCCCAATTTTTATTCTGTTTCTTATAATGTTACTTGAACATTCCCCTCACTCTTCAAGCTGACGTAACTGGTGATGTAACTCCCAGCAGATCTGTTTTGTGGCTCATTTCCTCACTAGAAAAAGGAGATTGGAAGGAATAAGGTTATTATTCCACATATGTGAATATAATAGCTGTGTTAATAAATTGTGATTTTACACCTCATTCCCTGTGATGGGAATTCCAGATACATAAACTGTAAAAGCAGGAAGAGGCATAAGGGAGTGAAACATACTGCTTGATTCTTCATACCTAGTGACTGTAAAAACTTGTTTCCAGGTCTGCAGCAAAAGGCAGTTCTAGGTGGCAAAAACAAATTGGATAAATGGGGATTCCGAACTGGCTAGATTGATAAACCTTATAAACAGACGATACTATAGCCTTGCTTTCTTCTTATGTAAGAAAGAACACAATCCAGAAATGTGCCGAATGCTTCTACAATAGACTTGTAGGATTATGCCTATTGTATATAACATATCTGTAATATCATCTATAAAACAGCTGTGGATTGAATTGCTTGTATAAATTATTAACCTACCTGTGATCCTTTTTTCCCTGGCCATACTCGCTGTTAGAAACACGTAGATGAACATTTAATCATGTACCTGCTCTGACATTTCTGATGCACTGCCCTTGCTTCTTTACAGAATGATATCTCACTTTGTAGCTAAACGATACAGCTAAATGATACTGGGATGAAGAAAGCTAAGTTGAATATGTCTGTGACTAGGTAATAGAACAAAAATTTTATTACCTCTTTAAAAATAAGTCATAGCATTTGCATTAGTCATCACAAAATAACCCCTGTTATTAGACATTTTAAAATGCATTGCACAGAAAATGAGTTTATCTAAAGAGGAATTTAAAAGAAAGATAACCTCCTTACTTAGTCTAATTTTACTTGCATTCCCACTTGAATGGAGCTGAATAATTTCTTCTTTACAATAAACAGATGGATCAGCAAGACATATTTTTAATGCTTGGACCAAACTGCCTGCTTTCATACCTCATTGCTTACAGTGGTTTTAAACCAAGAGAAAGTGTCCCAATATATATATAAAAAGTCAGGGTTCTTAGTGTTGTTTCAGGTATATACAATAGTCAAAGTGAGTTGCTTTACTTTATATTTGGGGGGGAGGGGATTTGTTAAGAACCAATCTGACTCTACACAAGTTAAAGCTTATGAAAATGACAGTATATTAAAAAATTATTTAAGAGTGGCTAAAAACCCCAGCAAATTAAGCAAAAGCTATGTTATGTGAATTACAAAGCACTTAAAAGCTATAGACACCTTTCTATAGGCTCTATCATGTGAGCAATCTCATAAGGATTCTTGTGTATTTATAAAATTTTTGAAGTACAACAAAACAGTGCTTTGTTGAAGTAGTTCATATCTACTTAAAACTGGATTTCTAAAACTGTGCAGGTGTGACTGATTTTGCCAAATAGAACTGTAGCTGAAATACAATTAAAAAAAAAAGGAAAGAGATAATGACGATGTGCAGTGTTAACATATGAAATGGTAAGATGAGGTTGGATTGATGTGCAAACAGTCTCTCAGAGATTAGATAAAACCCAGAAGAAGGACAGAATACAAAGCAAGCATGCAAAAGATCTGGAACGCTGCAGATTCACAGACAGCTGGACATGTAAGTACAAAAAACCCAATCTGTAAATACAAATTGATTCCATCAGGTTTACTATACAGTACTTTAGTAGTAACAGACAGTTGAAAACAACTTTCACTTAACAGCAAAATTAATTTTAGAGGGAAGAAAATGGTGAAGTCTCATCCTAGAGAACAGCAAGAGAGGTATTACAGGAGCTAAAATTTTCTTTGGCATGGTAAAAGGGGAGAACTGAGTTTGCCAACCTATTTACATGAAGTTTCACCATCCTGTGGCCAGTGCAATGATGTTTTGCACAGTCTACTTCTTACATAAACTTTTTTGTTGTTTTCCGGTATGCCTTCATATAAATGTTTTATTCATCGTGTTGAATCTGTGTATACAACAAATAAGAATAAACACAAACTGTACAATGCAGACAAACTCTTTGCATATATGTATGTAAATTTAGTCATACAGACCAACAGTTCTTTAACAGACACAACCTACTACATGCAGTTCATCCTTGCCATCCTCTTCCCATGCAACAGATGAGACAAGAGACAAAATTAAAGGGAGGAAACAAAACACAAAGACCCCTTTGCTATGTTTAAACAGATTGTAGAAAAAATATTTTTAGGACATCTATTAATTGGATTAAACACACATATGGATTTAGCCCATAGAAACAAAACCAGAAAATAATAAAAAAAAAGAGCTCTATTTCCAGTATGTACTAACTGCTTACAAATATTAAATCTGGCCTTAATTATAGTCCCCCCAACTGGTTCACAGATCATAATTACTCAGGATCAAAAGTTTAATGTTGAAAACAATACTTACGAAGCATCAGGCCATGAACCAGAACCTCCTTAAACGGCTCGGCCAGGTCTCCAGCCCTGTCTTTCCCCAGGCTTTTACACTTGGGAGAGTAAAAAGATGGCTGGATGGGACATGAACACATGTATTCCCTCCTCATGAACTCCTATGAAATTCAGGTGAGAGGGTTTTTTTTGTAGCCTTCAGCTGTATTATTTTACCGAAAATATTGTGGAGTGCTCCTCTTACAATTGTAGGAAAGCCCGGGGCCTCCTCTGGGACCCAGCAGATAGTAGAACGTCAAGGCTGCTGCCTCCCATGGGTCCTCCAGATGCAGAGCAAGCCCCCAGCTCACCACGTGAGTTGCTTTGGTTTTGTTTTGTTTTCTCAGGGATGGTGCACAAATCCCACTGGACCAGCTGGGATGATAAGGGTGCACCGAAGTTTTTAATAAAGTGTTGTTTTTCCCATGCACACATATTTAGTGCTAGCAGGCAAGGGCACAGTCTAAGTCAAAGTTTCTTTTCATTTGTATCACAGTATTAGAGTAGGTTTGTGTTTTTTTCCTCTACATGGATAGTGGGCTTCATGCTTAACTCGTTCCCTCCCTAGAAAGACCCAACGTCAAGTGTTAGCTTACTGTTCTCATATTACATATATAAACAAGGAAGTCTGGCCTACAAAAAAAAAAGGTTTATCTGGAATTTAGCAGCTTTGCAGTAGCCTCCTTGAAGAGTACGCTAAATGTTGCTTATAAAAACAGAACACATCTGAAAACTAGCATGAAGAGTTCATTCAGACTGAATCAGTTGTTCAGCTGAGCAGACAGGGAGTTTGAAATAACCAGTGGTCTCTGTTAGGGACTTCAGCACAAAGATGTGATAAAACAAATTGCCAGAAACACAATGCTAAAAAAGGAAAGGATGATTTCCTTTTTTTGTCTTTAAATATCAGGGTAACAGCAAGAGGCCAAGAGCACGCAGCCACACAGTTTTCTAGACTGAGGTACAGTTTGGTCCTTGTTGCCCTTTCCGAGAAACAAATACCTTCTTAAGCATACAGAGAGTACTCATATTTTTACTCTTCTGAAAGCCTGTGACTAAGTATGCAACACTTCAGTGGCATCTCTGTGGCATTCTCTAAATCTTCCCCCCCTTCCCAACATTGGTTGTTCACAAATGACAAATTCAAAGTGTTAATAGTGTTTCTGGTAATATGATCCAAGGCTTCAATTTTATAATGTTTCTGATTTCGTCTAGGTTCACGTAGGAGAAAGTACAGTATACAGAGATCAAGGCAAGGCACCTTCAATCTAGCAATTTGGTGGGCATATTATCCTAGGAAGCTGGGTGGACGTACGTACTGGGATATCAGTGAGATACATAGGACCGGACTTTGCATGCTTAGCTAAAAATAAAAATAAAGTTTTGTAATATGTCCAGTTTTAAAACTTTTTTTTTAAAACACCGGAAATATTAAACTCTAATTTGTAACTACCCTTTGCATTGGTGCTGCAAAAAAGAACACAACAACATCCTTGCCCATGCTTTGCTAAGTAGGTGTGGGATTCAGCCAAAAATAACAATGGCATTAAGTTCAGTTCCTTAAAAACAGGAAAGGATTATATTTGAAATGGATTTAGGTAGCGCAATTCTGGTTAGTCTTATTTATTTTTTTTTTATTGGTGGTGGTTGTTTTTCAAACAATGAAGATTTACTAGATGAAAAATGAGCCTTAATTCAGGCCTACAAGGCCTACAAAATTCTTTGGACCCACTTTCCCAAAAATGAGTGGGTCTTGCTCGCTGGGCAAGGCAAATGTTACCATTACCAGTAAGCCTGTGATATGTATAAAACACACACACAAAAAGAAACTATAGGGGGATGCCAAACACTCGTCTCAGAAAACTTCCTGTTGGTTGTGTTTGACACTCTTCCCTCCACTATAATGCCAACCTCAGAAGCACAGTATCTGTTACTAAAGAATATTCACATTTAATCAATATTGTAAGCCAGAGACAACAATCCTATTCTTTATAGATGTAATTTGTAATAATAGATTTTTGAAGGCTTCCTGATTCCCTGATTGCTTTCAAAACTAAGCCACCGGCAACACTTAAGTTATAGAGAAACACAATCCCTGCAAAAGGTCACAGACAGTGGAGCGAGCAGCCTTATAAAAAAGGGAAGAAGAGAAATCCATAATAGCACAGGTTTACAGCATCTAACTAGAAATTACTTGATTATTTGTGTGCTACAAAATAGAACTTAAACACATGGATTTTGCTGAAACTGGACTCAAAAAGGGATTATGGGCAATTGTCAGCAGGCAAGGTATCAAGTGTACTTGTGAAGTATGTCATTCACATGAAGTGTCACAGTCACAGAAAAGATATTAAAAAGGCATTCCAATATCTGGTAGGGCATTCCATGGTCTGAGTTTAGCTGGTTCATCCAGGTGTCTTCTTGTTGTGGGTGGAGCTACATGTTGAGATTTATCCGCTTGCAACAACTCAGTTCAGAAACAGCAACGGGCAAGTCTGTGACTTGCCGCAAGCTGATCCACAGACACTGCAGAGGGGAAGTCTGGCAAGGATAAATCGCTCAACTGTACTCGGGACTCAGTAAGTCACAACACCTGTGAGGATCTGGCTATGTCGTCTTACTCTTGGTAACTGGTTTGCCGCCATTCATTATTGCAGACGCACTTGTGCTTTTACTTGGAGTTACCCCAGCCTTTGGCACCGTTTCTCCAATATCATGCAAAGATGGTTCTCGATACATGGCAACTGCAGGGAGAAAAGAGAAAAGGAGAGACATTTTTCAGAACGTATCTCATTCAAGAGCTCATATCAAATGGGATTAATTTTCTACAATAACTGATATTGTAACATAATCCACGTTCCTCTTGCATGTGAGGGAATCTATTTGCTTTGACAGACATTTGTTTTGCATGGCTGATAGCTTTGCTTGACCCTCCAAATTTCTCACTTCTTCCATATCTGACTTAAAAACACAGTAGGAAACTGTATGCTTGCTTGTTTAATGGAAACTATAGAAGCCTTGGAAATGAAAAACTACTGTTCTGTCTTTGCATGAGGTAGACACACAAAAACGTACATATATATATGCACACATATATATACACCCCTTAAATAAATATTCTGCAAGTTTTTAGAAGTAACATATGATGAGATAAGACAGATGGTGTTTAACAAATGGGATCATATGATAGAGTTGTCTAGACTTAAGTATTCTTTTTTAGTCCTACATTGCAAGACTAGGCTTGGGTCCAGTTCTACAAAGTTATTTGTACATCTGCCTCCCAAATCTGAGGAGCTTGGCCACGTTCTCTTCAGGTGTGTACTGAAGAAATGTCCAGGACAGTGCTGTGGAGAGTACACAAGAGGTTTGGGTGTTTTTCTTCCTCCTTTCCAAAAATGTATGCAGTAGCCACTGATCTCCAGTGAATGTAGAAAGGCAGAAAACTTCAAATTAAACTGTTAATTGAATTCTCAGAGGAATTAACTAATGAAATACTTGTTGTAACATTTCCAATGACATAATCTAAATCCTTTTATGGCTTCTGAATTCTGAAATTAAACGTCTTCTCTAGAGTACATAAGGCTTGTTATGATCTATGTCCTCAGAGTGCCCCCATAACTGTGTTAAGGACACTTCGCTGATTAATTAAAAGAGCTTGATGAACTAACACGGTGACCTACAAAAATATTAAGTCAAATAACATGAGATGGAAGTATAAAGTAAGGAATTATATAGCAGAGCTGTCATATTTGATGACTCTCGTGGGCAATGTAAAGCAAGCTATTTCTAAGCCTTGCCTAAGCTATTTTGATAGAGTCTGACCATCCAAACATTAATGAAAAAAGTCATCACTTCTTTCCTAATCCATATGAATTGATGTTGCTTTTAAAAATGCACTGGCTTTCTCTCCCTACAATTCTTATAATTTAATATAAAGGGATTGACATATAAATTGTCAATATTGTTGAGAGCTCATGAAATTACTGTAAGCTTTTGCAAGACGAGGGAAGCACGAAGGCATCAACCTGAGTTCAAATATAAAGTTAAAACATAGGATTATTCAGATTCTTTCCATATGATGAAACTCTAAAACATTTAACAAACTGATCCTTTAATCAAAAATTTTAAGTTAAAATGTTAAAAGAAATTGGACTGCTAACTACAGCATCTAACTACAGCATTACTCAGGCGTGTGTTTTCAGATGTTAAGTAATGAGATAATTTTCAGAATGGCTGAGGCTATGTGTAGCAATAATATCAATGAAATCTGGAGAGCCATCAGGACAAGAAGCAAAAGCAGCATAGGTTTATAAAGGCCTGCAGAATACATAGGATAACCCAAAATTTCCAAGATATAAATGAATGTGTTTTTCAGAGAATGTGTGACATCGTTTTAGTGTGTAATGTTAGTACGACTTTTATTTGCTTCTATCTCGGTTTAAAGGCCAACTTACACAAGTTATGCGCATTACATCAACTGGCTAATACAGTATGATTTATTTTATAAAGAGAGCTTTGTGTTTCATATTAGAAAGCTTTTACTTTGAAATGCTGACATTTCATCCATTCCCTTTATAACTCCCAATTATCCTACAATATGCATTATTTCATTCTGCTTAATGAAAGGACTATTTTCTCACTGCAAGGCTCACAACAGCTTTTGTCCCTACCGAGAGAATATTTTAAAAACCGCACAATACACTTGCACAAAAGATTTATTTTCTTGCAAAATGACATCTTAATCCCTGGAAAAAAATGTTTTTACATATGCCCTTTCTAGCATCACTATGCCGGAGCACAAAACCGCTCCATGAATCCTAGGGATTGTCATTTGGAATGGCCCCTGTGCGGGGCACGCACATTTACAAAGGATATTTTAGAAACCATTCCCTCTTCTTCTTATGAGATTTATAGGAGGATCTGCCAGCGATGGACTGAACCTCACCTTCCAATGGCTTGGGTAGAAAATGAGCTGCTGGTTTTGTTTTCTTCACTCTGTTTCCTTTCATGACCTGCCCTTCTTTGTTCAGCCCCAAGAACCAGGCCCTCCCGGACTCCTGTTGTCTGTAGAGCATGGATGAGTAGATTACATAATAATTTTCAAAAACAGACTCCTTGAATTTGCACTCCGGTGTAAAAAGTTCCTGTGGGAGGAGAAGTAAATGTTAAATGATATCTTTAAAGTGCGGCTTCTGTTTTGTTAACTTACAAATACCTCTTGATAAGTTTAATATATGACTTATAATAAGGTTCTGCTTTGAGACCAGGAGATCTGTCTTCCTCTAGACCTCCAGGTGAAGTTATTTCACCTCCCGTGGATGCCTCTGTTTTCCCATCTGTGCAACAGGGATAGTATATTTTCAAAGTAGAGGGAAAGCGACACAGGCATATATTGTGCTTATTTTTCTGATAGGATATCCTCGTAAAGATTAAGAAAGTCTATGCTAAAATAGCATTAATGAGAAAACAATTGTTCCGTTTTAACACACTAAATGCAACAAACTCCCTCTATGTTTTAGAACAACTAATATTTGATGCTTAAAAAATGCTGCTACAAAAATATTAAAATATATATCATTTCCTAGAGTCCGCATGGCTTAAAACACCACAGGAAAACACTATTTTGATGTACAAATTTCTGTACAAAGAAAAATAATTCCTACTAACATCCTCAGCATTCATCCCAAAACTGGAATGCTTTTCAGAAGTCACATTCGGTAACAGAGCAGCTGTACTAAGGTTAACTTAAGCACAAACTTCTGTAGCCCAGTAGCCAAATAATAATTTAATTTTTTTTTAATAATGCAAGTAACAGTAACAAACTAAACAATGTGAACGTATATTGAGACAGAGTTAACCAAAATCCTTTCAAAAAGCCCAGCAAGTTAACAAGCAAATAAAATTACATTTAAAATATCATGAGAAAATAGGATTCTGTGTGAATGTGATTTTCTGTCTTTGGACCCATCTGCTGAAACCTGTGGAAGATATAAGACATAAAAGGAGGAGGTAGATGTGGGAAAGTGGAAGGTAGCTTGCTAAGCTTTCTTTTTGCTCCTGGCCCCATGCAGTACTGAGTTAACACTCAGCAGGTAATGTGTTTTCAGGGTCTCTATGCATCCCCAGCTGCCTATATATTGTAAGAATTTCACTGCTGTTTCTGGCACAGATTTCCTTTCTGGAGATCAAAGTCCTTAAAGACACAGTTCCCCACACCAGAAAGCACAGATGAAGTACTTTTCTGAAACTGCAATAAATGTCACTTAATGCACAACCAAGTTCTCCTAATGTTATGGGGTGCACAGTATTTGTATTGCCATGGCTTAAATTACCACCTGTAAGCAAAGCTCTCTTGACGGATACCAGGCATACTATTAGCTTTCTCAATTATGCAGTGACTTTTAACCTCAAATAAAAAGAATTAGCGTATTTTATCCAGCAACAGACTAAAAGCAGTTGCTTCAGCAGCTGGGAAATAATTTGTAAACCTGCTCTAAAGCAGGTTGCTTTGTCTCTGTGAGCGAGTACATTTGGGGTCTATAGGTCACACTCATTTACAGGATGCAAAAAATATATTCTAATGTGTGCAATGGCCATCTTTTTATGCTACCACTTCTTTATGTTTATATACACACCAGAAATACAAATACAGTCTGTACTAGAGGCACTAAAAACTAATGACAAGAAATACCTTAACTGCACCTTCTCCTTTGCCACGGGGCCTTTTCTCTCTCTATTCCAAACCTTTAAGACATCTGTTGTTTGTGTTACTCTCCTTTCTCCTCCACTGATTTCAAATCACAGTAGGGCTCAAGGAGACTCAAAATAAATCCAGAAGGCAGGGTGGCATGCTAGAGGGAATGCCTGTTAAAGCCTAGCACAAGCATTTACATGCGAGTCATGTTCCTCGGCTGTTGAAACAGCAGATGCTAATCAGGAAATGCCTACACAGCTCTCCTTATTACCTGCTTCACTGCAAATGCTACCCCCTGCGTTCCCCACTAAGTTTTACTTCCTTGTAAAGCTCAATTACCATAAACACTACTTCTTAGCCAATACCCACTTTTTGCTATAAACAAAAGCTCTTTGCCGTTCCATGCTCCTCCCTACTAGAGATGGTTGGCTGCTCGTAAACGCTATTTGTGTGTTTTCCCAAACAATATCCATTAGGATACTGAAACAAGATTCCTTCAAATCATGTCCCACCTCTGAATCAGACCTGGCTCTTTCTCCTTTCTTTTGCATGTACAATAGTGTTTCTGACAGTGCACAGCATATGAAGTGGTAGGTATTTATTTTACTAAGTCAAAAAAATGGATGATGTAAAACACATTTACTTGGCTACTCCTAGATGCAGACTGATAGACTGGACAAACGGGCGTCATTACTATTTTTTAGTTATGTAAAGCATAGTAATAGTCTGCTGATTTTTTTTTGCATACGAGGAAGAGCCAAACCTCAGTACTGTATTCTGCCCAAAAGCACTGCAGCTACCCTACTCCGGATGTCTGGGTAGTGTAACAACTTTGGATAGCTTTGCATTCACTCAGTATATTAGGATGCAATTCTGCCTGGGATAAACTCTCAGTCAAAAAGTCACTTAAATGTATGTTACATTAAAGCAGGCTAATAGTTTCACCTTTGTGGAGAGTATTCATGAATGAAAATTAGACACCTGACGATGACTATGCTGAACTGCAGCCACCAGTTCCTCTGAGGAAAGAATTACTCAGAAAGGGACTTCTGAAATGGGCACCTTCCCTGGGGCTCAGGTGGAAACTGAATATTTCTAAGTTAAGAGTAATATCTAAAACCTTGCCTCAGATGATACCATCTCAGCTGGCTGAAAAGCTGTAAGCACCTATATTTTCTCCAGTAAAGCAGCCATGACACCTAAAATGCCGTTTCTGCATGTACGTAGGCCAAATCTAGATCTGTATACCTAAGACTCAACCCAGTAATAACTGTGAGAAAATGACTAATGTGCTAACAGCACCGACTTTAAAAAAAATCATCCACAGCTGACCTTATGCAAGTCCATTGCTGGAGGGAAAGGAAGTACAATAGCATTTTATAAGAGAAACTCAATGGTGAGGGCACTCCTCTAGGCCACCTGCCTATCTGTATCCAACCTGAAGGAATCCAAATCTGCATCTGGCTGACATGAATCATTTAGATCTTCCCTGCAAGAATGACTGTTTGGGTTTTGATCCCAGGACAGTCTTTACATTTTGTATTAGGAAGTGAATGAATAAATTGCAAAACCAGACATGACTTGCAAACAAGAACTTGTAGTCAGGATTTCTCTTCCAAGGTCAGTGCCAAGATTTAACCCGTAGTCTTATATAAAAGGTGGTTTTCTCCTGTCAAAGCAACATTTGAAAAATAAAGTATATACCTGCTGCCAATTTCCAAAACCCCAGGAGTGGGTTTTGGCTCTAAACTGCAATCTGATACAGTTTCCTGGGTCCTAGAGAAGTGAAGGATGTATTAAAAATTGCACCTTGCTGAGAAGAATTTTCACTTGGATATTTTTGCTTTTGCTTGATGTGAGTCCTATTTGGAGTTATTTTAATTCTCTCGGTTGCTTTAGTGTTAGTCAGTATCACAACACACAGGTTGTGGGTTCAACCTCTTGGAATCAAAAAGTTCTGTCATTGGGAAGTTGTTAGTTTTGGGGTCCCCACCAGTGTTGTCAAAACTCAGCATTGTAGTATTACATCATAATAGTGGAGCCTTAGCTCACAGAGTCATGTGGTGGAATCTACTTTCATTTAAGAAGAAAACACAAATTAAATAAAGAAAAAAGAGCCATTATCCACCTCTCAAACTTAGGAGTGCCTGAATGAAGGAGCTCAGGTTACCTGTGTTGTCAACATGTAGATACAAGGATTGTTGGAAAGCAATTCAGGTGACAACTGAGATGAATTCCCTATCAAGTAATGTCTTTCTGTCAATCAGAGGCTGAAGTCTGACATCATTTACAGTTGCACTTGATGATCTTAAAGGGCTTTTCCAACCTAAATGATTCTGATTCTAAATGATTCTATGATGAAGCTAGGCCTCCATGCTAATCAATAACACGGCACACTAGCAAAAGGCTATAGTTCAAAATCAAAGTACAGCAAACTTTACTGTCCCGCAAGTCACTGAGTAAATGAAAATATTTGAATGAGTTATCAGTGTAACTTCCAATTGCTGGGCTTTCACAATTTAGTCTGTTCAATTTAGCTAGCTTTAATGAAGTTGCACATATCCATTTGTAGCCATGGTCTTTCACTTAAAATAATCCCCACAAAACATGGAGTTTTTCTACTACAGCTCTCAGAAGGAAGAATCTTCTCCAGATATGGACAAGATACCTATGCTGCGAACCACAGAGTTGCAAAGTAAAACCTAGCATGACAACATAGCTAGCCATATAGCTTCAAGATATTGTTTTAAAATTACATTAACACCTGCAATTTTAAACTATACCTCTGTTCAGTAACTCAATCAATAATGAACTGTCAGGGCTGAACAAAAAGTAACCTTCCACCACACACTATGAGGGAGAGCGTAAGACCATGGTCTTACCATGGTCATCAAAACAGGCAGACCCAAGGACAAGGACTCCTACAAAAGTTGCCTACCCTCTACTCCTGACCCTTCAAGCCTCTACAAATTTGCTTTTTATTCTGAAATATAGGAAAGGATAGTATTGTTCTAGTTACAGCTCACAGAAGTGATATAGCTAGCAGTCAGCCTCTTGAATGGTAGCCAGCAGCAAATAAGGCGGCAGTGGATTCCCCTGGAGACGGGCATAACAGGAATCGTTCATCACACCAGGCAGCAAAAGCGCAGCTGCAGGCTGAACTAGCTACAGCTTCTCCATGGTGCCAAGCAGAAAACACAACTGCAAGACAAACTCAAAGAGATTGCCAGGTGAGGAACAGCCATTCTAATCAAGCAGAATAAAAAACCTGATTACTGGTCCTTTTCATAACTCAAGACCAGTTGAAAATTATCCTGGTTTAATATTATTTATTATTTGTACTTAGAAGTCCAGTTCACGGAATAGGACCTCAGTGCTTTGGAAGTACAGACCAAGTGGAGTCTGCCTGATGTGAACACCTTTCAATCCAAATAAAGCCTGATACAGGAC